TGATTTAGCTCCCCTGTTGTTTGCTACACACACTCTGGCCTCTCCTATAGCCTCCTGGGATGGGACCCAGACTGGTCAAGGGCTTGAGGCTGCTCAGTTTAACACAAATTCAGAGAAGCCCTGATGGCTGCCTGTAATGCACAAGAGGTTCCCAGGTACAAATGGCTTTCCCCCTACTGACTCAGTTTCCTATGAGTCAACTGGGAGTGAATATTTATGCATATACACTGGACACAGCAGGTGCAGGATACTAACCATGGGTCTTGCTGTCAAGGATTGGTCAGCAGCTCAGCTCCAGGACTCAGAGAGTATGAAGGAAATGGAACCACAGGGTACACATATCCTGCTAAGAGAAGGGAGCTCAGGACCAGAGGAGACTGACCATGCCCCCTGCTCCTGTCTCCCTCACTCCTTCGGTCTCACCTTGTCCCCTGCAAACCAGGGCTGCTTCCCCAGGAACTGTGAGTACAGCGTCAGCTTGTCTGGGAGGCCCTTCAGATAGTCAGGTTTCAGCTTCTCCTGAAGGAACAAATGACTGTCAGCACCCACAGACACAACTTTGGGGAGAGGGGTTGCCTGCCCAGGGCTGCACAAGGCCCTGCTGGCCAGGGGAGCAGCCGTTCTCACTGAGTGTGGCACAGGGTCCGTATTCCTCCTTGGATTTTATTCATCAGCATCTGAGAGACTCCAATTGGCCCCTATCCCATCTGTGAGAGACCACAGGACGTCACAGAGGAGTGCAGCTCTGTCCCTGAATGTGTCACCTCTGATGTCCTGCTGTGGGTCATTCCCAGGAGTGTCATGAGTGTAGTTTCCCTGGGACTCAGCTGGGGGTAAAAGCAAAGAGGCAGAGAACTAAAAGACCTTGGCAAAGAAGACGAAACTCTACCTGGTGGCCTGGCGGGAAAGTGCTAGAGGCATGTGTACAGCTCACAAAGGATGAGAATGTGATCTGCAAGGTTGAAGGGAAAGGAACCCAGGGCCTCTGGGTGACCCTGGGCTACTCATTAGGTAAATATGTGTATCCTGTGGTGGTTTAGATAAGTCCCCATGTTGAAGTACAGTAACTTATTTGCTGGGACTTTTTATCCAGGCTCTGGCACATCATAGCAATAGCAGTTAAAGACCACCATGGTGTTATAGGTTAGATACAGAATCTTCACTTTGGGAAAACAAAGTTCATATTTAGGAATTAAGTCCCCACAGGAGAAGTAGGATTGTATCCTAAGATTGTAAGATTTTATTTTAGATGACTTAGAGATTAAGAGCAGGCAGGAACATTGCCATCCCCCAAAGATGTATCTCTTTTCCGTATAGCTGGTGTCTGTGTATTCTAGGAGCAGGCGGTTGGCATGAGCTAGCTGGGGGGATGGGAGGGGATCAGAGAGATCAGAGAGATAGTTCCCTGATGCTGACCTGTAACCCTGATGAACCCAGATATTACAGCTAATACCCTCTCCCCTACACATACACACACTCTCTCTCTCTCTTACTCTCTCTCACACACACATGCACACGCGCACATGCACACAGGAGTTCTATTAAGGCCCAGTTATCCTCCTAGTTCCGCAGGAGCTATGCCTATGAATCATCCCAGCTGCTCATTGTGCAGGATAGCTGAGTTCTACTTTAGCATCAGCTAGCAGGAGACACGTCCTGTCAGGCTAAACTATAGAACCACCTGCAAAATGCAAGATCCAGGGCTGGGAGTGGACCCAGAAGGGAAAATGTGGGCACGCTTCTGATGGACTGTAGCTCATACTGCTGAGCATGAGAACCAGGGATGGGAGTAGGACTGGCTGGACAGATGGTGCCATCCACTGATATGAATGTGGGCTGGATAGTGTGGTAGTTGGGCCAAGCTAGGCTGCATCCATTTATGTATATGAGAGTCAAATGGGATGCGGGATGTACTGGGACTGGGACCAGACTGCTGTATACTGCAGCATGCACAGGAACCAGAGCTGGGAGCAGGTGGTAGAGGTTATTAGGAGTCACTCTGAATTGGTTGGATTCCTGCTGGTGTACATAAGTGCTGAATTTGTGGTGGGCAGGGTTAACCTGGGCCTCAGCATCCATCGTTTTGATTATGAGATGGGGCTGGTGATAGAATTGACCAGGTGGCTGCAGCCACCAGTGTGTGTAGGCTGATGTGGGTGATGGACTGAGTCAGACCCCCTTACTGGCACACACAAGGGTCTGGTTAGGGCCACCTCTTTTGAGGTTTTGGGGGGACCCATCCCCACCCCGCCATACACACACAAGTGGATCAGAATTCAATCACAAGGTAAATCACAGGGTCTGTGATCTGGTACATGTGTCAGAACTGGACCTCCTCAGTTGTTGAAGCCTGTGCAGTGGATGGTATGCCCAGATGCTCATGGTGGAATGTGACATTCATTGAAGCCTACAGAAGACATCTAGTACTATGAGGGCAGAAAAAATCGGACAGCTATCCCGGTCAAGCTTTGACAGTGAGTATCTGGGGGAATTAAGAATCTAAAGTGGACTGTGTCAGTAAATAAACCTTGGAAGGATTTCCTCAATCTTGGAGCAATGAAATCAAAGCAACTTAGAATACCCAAAAGCATTTGAGCAGTGCCCTTGGGAAATGCTCCACATCAGGGACTCTAGGAGTTTATCAAGTGCCCATCCTCCATTCCCGAGCACTGATGCAGTTGGGCTGCTGGGAATGGCCATCTCCCCCTTTCTTGCCATTTTCCCCAGATACCAGAAGAAAAAAGGAGATTGGAGGCAGTGATCTCATCAGCTTTCCCCCATTCCTTGACCCTCCCCAACCTAATTGGTGGTCCACATGGCCATGCATGCCTCTCAGCTAAGCAAATATCATAAAAAATAAAGTGGATTTATTATTTAAAAGAGAGGAAGAGCAAAACAAAAACTGTACCCACTGAGGGGGCCATGCATTTGGGTGTGAACATGGGACCACTGCCTCCCTGTGAGCAAACCTTTAGGGAAATCCCCCCAGAGGCTTAGGCTGCTGTCTCAGCCTGGACACAGATGGGGAGCTGAGCTCTGTGGAAGGGTCCAGGTCAGAATGCATGGGGAACATCTGCAACAGGGACTGTCCTCTGCCAGCCCCAGTGACCTGCTGCCCCATCTCCCCAGCAACACGGAGACACCAGGCCACCAGAGTTGTCTGGCTTCACTCGGTGAAACGAAGCTCAACCTGCAACTCCACACCGTATTCAGGTAAGCTGAAATCATTAGTGATATTCTTGGTGCACACTCCTAATATGTGTTAGTTAATTTCTCAAACTGACTTCTTCAAGTTCAACAACTGGGTTCTTCAGCTGTTGAACCCCATTTTTGTTCAAATCACTACTCAACCTGGTTTCACAGATTCACAATGTCATAAAAGAGAAACAAAATAAAACCACAGGCCCATTTTTGGGGAATACTCTTTAGTTTTCAAACAAGTCTTCTACCTACAAAAATTAAAGCTGACAGGTAGTACATTGCTCCTGTGGGGGTTCTGCTACACAGTCATATCAGACTGACTTTAAGCCATTTGAGGGTTGGGCATTTAAGATGCCGTGGGGTTGCCCACATCCCATGTCAGAATGGCTGAGTTTCAATTTTTAATCCTGGCTCCTCCTAAGATTCCTGCTTCCTGCTAATGTGCATCCAGGGAGGCAGCAGACAGTAGCCCATGGTCTGTGTCCCTGCTACCAACATGGAGAAGGGGTTTAAGTTTGTTTTCTGGCACTGCCTTGTCTCAGCCCAGACTACTTTAGCAATGTGGGGAGTGTCACCCTGCCTTTCAAATAAAGAAATTAATACCTAGATCTTTATACAGATACATGTCATTTGAGTCACCCTTTCATACCCAAGAACACTTGTGGGTCAGGAGCCAAGGCCAGGGCTTGACTCTGAGGACCCAGCCTGCTGAGGGCCTGACCCAGTCCTCCCTGTGGTCCTCTTGGACATCTTCCAGGCATCTCTGGTCACCAGCTGTTCTCTCCCGCTTCAGGAAAGGGCTCTGCTCCTGCCCCCACAGAGGCTCTCCCACCTTCCTTCACATCCCCTCCTGGATGCTGCCCTCAAGGCCATTGTCCTGTTTGAGGATGTCACCTATCCGACAACAGGACATTTCTGAGGGTGCACCTCAGCTATGCTGCCTCCTTGCAAGGTGGGCCTCTTGGAGATTCACCAGCTGCTTGATGAAAGAAAAACGCCACCTGGTGAGGCTTCAGTCAAGAGACTCAAGACTGGTTCTCCAAATGCCTTAAGGGACAACTTCTCTCCTCCATCCTTTGTCAGCCAGGGTGACCTTCGCCTTCTGGGGTTGCTGCTCCTGATGCGTGGCACTGTGGAGTGTCTACCTAGGAGCCTGGCAATGCCCAACGCTGCCCATCCATGGGGGTACTGGGGAAGGGCAGCGAGTTGCAGTGCATTCTGCGGGACTGCCTTGGCTGTCAAAGGTGCTGCCGGCTAGGGGTTTTAAGCAGAGGGTGGCCGCTAGGCCGGGCTAGGAAAGCGGTAAGGCCAGGAACGGGGTTTGGCCTCACAAGACCCAGCTCTGCCTCAGGATTCCCTGGGGTCTGGGAGTTGATTTTTAACTTCCTGCTCCCAGAGGGTTGGGCCGAGGGGCGGGGCGGGCGCCAACTCCGCCCCTGGACTCGTAGCATATCAGCAAAAAGTTCCAGGCAGTCCGGGTTCCGGTGAGACTTGACAGTAAACCCTCTACACCTGAAGCACCATGACCACGACTGTGGGTTACTGGGACATTCGCGGGGTGAGCAAGGGGTCTGCTCGGAGGGTGGGCAGGGGGAGAGGCACTGAGTAGCTGCCACCGATCCTGTAGGACCTGTTGGGAAACTTTGCCTGTTCCAGGCTCTCCAGAGCTCACTGTGCAGTCCCTCTGTATGTGGGGCCTGGGAAGCATGCAGTGTAGGGTGGGAGGTAAACCAGGTAATATAGGGACAGAATCAGAGTCCCTCTGTCCCTGACCTTTTATTTTGGACCATACTACCCAGATGTGCCATGCCATCCGCCTGCTCCTGGAATACACGGACACCAGCTATAATGAAAAGACATACTCCACTGGGGACGGTAATGCACCTGCCTGCTTTGACCTTTGCCAAGCAATGCTGACTGACACCTAGCAACCACTGGGTGGCCATCTGTTGCTCACCTGTGCAGGTGCCCGCACCCTGGAGCAGAGCCTGCACTTGCATGGTCCCCTAGAGGGTGCAGTGTGGCTTCCCTAGGCCGGGCACTGGGAGGAGTGCTGGGCTTGGCCGTGTTAGTGACTGGGATAGATTCTAGCACTACTCCAACTTTCGGTGGGCCTTTGACATGAAGGGTGCAGAACCTTAACCAGATTTTATACTAGTTATACGTAGTAGTGTGAGACTAAGAGGTTCAGATTCCACATGCCCTGTGGGGGGTCTTGCCCCGACTCTGACTCTGCCGAGGATAGGCTGCACACTGGGGAGGTTTTGTTTCACTTGGTCTTCTCCACAGCTCCTGACTATGACCAAAGCCAGTGGCTGAGTGAGAAATTCAAGCTGGGCCTGGACTTCCCCAATGTACGTACAGGGGATGGGATTCCTAGGGGGGGACAATGTAAGATATCACCACTTCCACATCCTTCCCAAGTTTAGAAACTTAAATACCCCGACTTTATGCTCAACTTCTGTCGTTCCTCATTCTCTTCAACACTTTTATTTTGATTTATTTATTTTTATTTTATTTGCTCATATACACAGAGAGGAGGAAAAACAGAGAAAGATGTTGCATCCACTGGTTCGCTCTCCAGTGACCACAATATCCAGAGCTGAGCTGATCCGAAGCCAGGAGCCAGGAGTTCTACCGGGTCTTCCATATGGGTGCAGAGTCCCAAGGCCCTGGGCTGTCCTTGACTGCTTTCCCAGGTCACAAGCAGGGAGCTGGATGGGAAGCATTGCCACCAGGACACAAACCAAAATCCATATGACATCCTGGTGTATGCCAGGCCATGACTCTGGCCAATAGGCTACAGCGCTGGGTGTGGTTTATTCACTCATTATAGAGAGAGTATCTCTAGGGTCTGCCATGGGTCAGTACAGAGGGTGCCAGGGCTCCTGTGTGCCCTGGCTCAGGACAGGGGTGCTAGGTAACAGCTGACTTCCCTCCTCCCTCCCCAGCTGCCCTACCTGATTGACGGCACTCACAGGCTCACCCAGAGCAATGCCATCCTGCGCTACCTCGGCCGCAAGCACAACCTGTGTGAGTGGGGCTGGCTGAGGGCGTGGGGCTGTGGCTGTGCCCTGGGCCTGGCTGGGTGGGATGCTGAGGGTGTCTGCTGTGTCTGCTGTGTGTGCTGCAGGTGGGGAGACGGAAGAGGAGAAGATTCGCGTGGACATTTTGGAGAACCAGGTTATGGACACCCGCAGGCAACTCATCATAGTGAGCTATAGCCCCGACTTTGTAAGTGTTCTCACTGGACAGCACTTGGCAGACTCAATGAGTAATTAAACTCTCATGTTTGTATCCGCACTGCTCCTGTTTGCCACTGCACTCTCTAGGGGGACTGATTCTTCAAGTAATTTCATGTTATCAATACATTGATTCTGTGGTCTCGTAAGGGTTGTGAAATGAAATCATGAACCATGTGTGCTCATCTGCACTGCTCCTGTTTGCTACTGAGCTCCCTAGGTGACTGGCTATCCAAGCAATTTCATGTCTGATCAACACATTGATTCTGTATCTCTAAGTCTTGTAAATAAAATCTTACAGTCAATTTTCACAATCTTAGGATACAGTTCCAAACCCCCAGGGTCAAAAGTCAGTTCTAAGGAAATTTGCTTTAGAATTCCTCTGGTGTTTGAATTTTAACTCTTACCACAGCCATCTTTCAATGTGTTCCTATAATGTGCCCTGCCAGGATGTAAAATCCCAGTGTACTAGTTATCGTGGTTCAAGAAGAGAACATCTTTAGGCATGTGCCCTGTTTCCTGGGCTCTCTCTGTGCCCCCACAGAGACAAGCAGATTTCTCCAATAGGCAGCCCAGGGTCAGCCTGAGGTCCTAGGTTCCGTTCCCTCCATCATTTCACATCACATTCTCATCCTTTGTGAACTGTACACATCCCTGCCACGCTCAATGAGGACGGCTGCTCCCCTGGCCCCCAGGGCCGTGTGCAGCCCTGGTCAGGCAGCCCCTCTCCTGCAAAATTGTGTCTGCGGGTGCTGACAGTCATTTGTTCCTTCAGGAGAAGCAGAAGCCCGAGTACCTGAAGAGCCTCCCAGACAAGCTGACAGTGTACTCACAGTTCCTGGGGAAGCGGTCCTGGTTTGCAGGGGACAAGGTGAGAGCAGAGGAAGGGAGGGAGACAGGAGCAGGGGGCATGGCCAAGGCAGTCTGGTCCTGAGCTCTCTCCTCCTGGCTTCTGCAGATCACCTTTGCCGATTTCCTCGTCTATGACATCCTGGACCAGAACTGTTTATTTGCTCCTGGTTGCCTGGATGCATTCCCAAACCTGAAGGATTTCATGGCTCGATTTGAGGTGACTCTCTGATATTCCTCTCCCCTTTTCCAGTTGCTTCATGCTCTCTGAGTCCTGGAGCTGAGCTGTAGATCAACCCCTGAGAGCAGGACCCATGGTTAGCATTCTGCACCTGCTGTGTCCAATGTATCTGCATAAGTTGTCTTTCCCAGTTGACACATAAGGAACCTGAGTCAGTAGTGGGAAAGCCATTTGTCAGGGTCTCAGAGCCCGTCACAGATGTGCTGGGCTCCCTGTTAGCCATAGTGACTATAATCAGTGCTCAGTAGGTCTCTTCTTTAGTAAAGGATAAAACCCCAGGCCCTTGACCGTCTAAGTCTCCCATCCCAGGAGATGATGGGAGAGACACAACACTGAGCGGCATGTCCATAGCTAGCATCAGGAAGGCTGACACAGTAGGGCTGATTTTACTGTCAGAGATAGATACTCCTCATTCCTGATCTCCAGGGAGCTTAACACCAATCAGATGTCAGTGTGGAAACACTGAGGTCAAGGTTGCTATTGGTGCTGTATGTATTCACTGCTGGATGCCAGTGGTGCAGGATCTGGTCATGAATTTATTTTTGACATGTGATTTGGACATGTTCTTTACCACCTCTCTCCCTCTGACTCATGCCTTTAAGTGTCTGGTGTGCTGGCTGTGACATGGGGTAGATTTCCTTTTTATATACGCCCCTGCAGACCATCCTCTCAGGGTCAGGTGCAGGAGTACATGTAAAGGTGACTGCTGGGATGGAGCACCCTTAGACAACTATAAGCACAGCAGACTGAGGGGTGAGTTGGTTCCACCCTGTGGGTGCTGAGGAGCATGGCCTGGGCCTCATCTCACATACTCACTTCCATCAAACAGAAACTTCTTGCTTATAACAAAGCTTCTTTTGTTAGGATTTGGTAGTTTGAAACATTAGTCCAACACGTTATCCGGTCTATGCTCTTTGTGTGCTTTTCCACTGTTCACTTGTGTGCTCCTCGTCAGCTCTGGATCAGGTCCAGACCTGTGACATTGGGGATTACGCAACAATTGCTCAGCTCTGTGTGCCGAGGAGGAGGGACCAGTATAGATCTGTGTGCTGGACCACGTGGCCCAATGATCAAGCCCAATAGGCTCAGAACACTCTGGATCGCCCTGAGTTCTCGAGAACCTCTATGGGCACTGTCAGCCCTGGCGTGAAGGTGCATGGCCCAGGAGTGTGCTCAGCGCTGCTTGCTATTCAGGGCTCAGGATGAGGGGAGTTGAGATACAGAGATGTGGTGGCCAGGAGTGGATCATGCTGGAGAATGGAGTGCTTTGTTATTCTGTACCTGCAGAACACCCAGATGTTAACATCTCCCTGCTGATCCATCCTATGTGTTCTAGTGTGAGGTATCTGTGATGAAGAGCGAACTCTACAGGGTTGTGGTCCTATGGAGATGTCAGTGCAGCCACCACAGTCACATGCAATGGCTGCTGTTGGTCCCGCTGGGCTGTGCCTGCTCCAAGACTGCGGGAATCCCAGGAGAACCACAGACCCTGAGCTCTGCTCCTGTTTCTGCACCTGCAGGGCCTGCCGAAGATCGCTGCCTACATGAAGTCCAGCCGCTTCCTCCGAGTGCCTGTGTTTTTAAAATCAGCCAAGTGGACAGGAAAGTAGGGTTTTCTGATCTTAGCAGATGAAAGTGGCTTTGGGGAAAGCCTTGGGACCCTGCACCCACATGGGAGACCCAGAAGAGGCTCCAGGCTCCTGGTTTCAGATTGGCGCTGTTCTGGCCATTGTGGCCCCTTGGGGAGTCAAACAACAGATGGAAGATCTTCCTCTCTGTCTCTCCTCCACTCTGAATATCTGACTTTCTAATGAAAATAAAATAAATCTTTAAAAAAAAAAAAAGGAAAGAATTTGGCTTTGGGGAGTACCTCTCACTGGCCTGCCTCAGCCTTCTCAGTTCTCTTCCTCCTCTCCCTCCTTCTTCCCAGCCTGCTCTCCCCTGTCCTCTAAACCAGCCACTCCCATAGATGCCCTGGCCAGCCTCAGCTCTGCTCTCTTCCACAGTCATCACCCCCTGGGCTGCTCTTCCTGCACTGAGGCCAACCCTACGGTCCCTGTCCTCACCATGAGGGCCCTGAGTGGCCCTGAGCTCCCCAGACACCAGAAATGTCACTGGACCTGTGCTGACTCTGCTCTGTAGCAAGGTCTCCCTGGTACTGGCTGTTCCCCTGAAAGCTTGAACCTCAGCCTGGGCCTGTCCTCTTCACTGGGAGCCCTGATCTTGGCACTGGTCTTCCTGGAGTTCGGGTATTTTCTTTGTTCTGTTGCCACAACAGGGGTTTGGAGAGCAGAATGCTGTGTGGGTGTGTTGGTCAGGCATGGTTCCATGGTGTCTTGGTCATTTCTGTGCCCTGTACATGTTGCTCTGTTCCTCAGCTTGGGTTCCTTCTTCAGCATGTGCCAGGGCTTGAAGCGCCCTGCAGCTGGGCCCTGGTTCTGAGAACTGGCAGGCTGATGGGGAAGCAGCTGTGTAGGCCTCTGGCAAACCATCTGTGGCATCCTTTACTGAATGCTTTCCTGACATGGATATTCCTCATCCGTATTTTCAGGATATCTCCCAATAAATCATATCCCATTGTATTACAGTTCTTGTGAAACTTTTTTTTTTGGTACCAATTGAATCTTAAGCTCACAGGGCATTCATCCGTGTCTTACTTGTGATATTTATCTTAATGCCTGACATGCAAGTGTTCAGGAAGTTTGAAAATGCTAAGAATTCCCTCTTGGAAAGCTGGAGCCTGGCTGTTCAGCAATGAATGGGAATTGGTGATCTTAGAATACTTATCTGAGCCACAACAGTTGTAGAATATCGTGTAGACTATTGTAACTGTGCAGACACCAGAGAATGAGTCACAACTGGTCTCTTATCTGAGCACTGAAGAGGTTCTAGCTGCCCTGGAACAAGATGCCTGAGATACTGGCCCGGTTTGCTGGGTCACAGTGTGGCCATCTATGTAGTCAGAAACTGGGAATTTCATGGAGGTCACCTGCAAATGAGGACTCACATAGCAACCTTGAGTTTGACAAGTTCCTGTAACTGGCTGGACGATGCACTTGGCCTTGGTAACTTAGAAAAAGACAAGGAACAAGTAAACAGAGGAGTGCAGAGAGCGGCTATGCATATGATCCTACCAGTAGCTGTGCTTGCTGGAATCAAATAAAAAGGGAGCAACCAGGGTAACATAAAGGACATTCAAAAATAAATGATTAATGTAAAAGATACTTTTCAGATCAAAGTTAAACCTGGCTACATGCTTATGAGACCTATTGATTAACATTGGTTAAGTGAAAGTTAAGCTTTTAGACAGAAGAACTAATGAGTAATAGGAAACAGAAGCGACTAATAAAAATTAAGTGCATAATACTAGATGTACTTCTAGAATAAGGTCAGGAAACATTTTCTCTAATGGCCAGATATCAGGCTTCACAGGTCATAATTTGTCACTGTTACTCACCCTCATGGTGCAGAATACCCGAGTGAATGGATGTACAGTGTTTCATTAACATTCTATTTACAAGACAGTGAGTTAAAGCAAAAGCCAAATCAGTTCTGGATTAGGTGAAGGACTTCAACTGACATGTTCCTGAAAGGATACACAGATGACAAAGGGGAACCTGAGAGATTGCTCAGTATCAGGAGAGAAAGGCCGGATGGAGCTGGACTGAGGTAGCCCCTCACTCCCACAGTGATGGCTGGGACAAAAAGCAGAACAAAGGGAGTTGTTTTGTTGGTGTGAATGGAAAGTGGCCTAGCCATTGCGCCAATCAGCACTGTTCTCAAAAAGTAAAATTGCCATGTAATGGCAGCAGTTCCATTTCTGGGTAAATATTGAAACAAACAAACAACAACAACAACAAAAAAACAAGTTCCTGAAGGGCTACTTTTTTTTTTCTTTGAGATTCATTTATATTAGAAAGGCAGAGGAGAGACAAAGATCTTCTATCTATTGGTTTATTCCCCAAATGTCCACAACAGCAAGAGTTGAATTTATCCAAAGCCAGAAGGTTCTTCTGAGTCTTCCATGTGGGTTTAGTGTCTCAAGACTTTCCCAAGTCATAAGCAGGCAGCCGAATAGGAAATGGAGCAGAGACACAAATGCACACCCATATGGGATTCCAGCACTGCCAAGGTGAGGACTAATCAACTGAGCCATTGCACCCTTGACAGCTGCGTGTACAAACATACTCAAAACAACACCACTTCCGACAGTGATGGGAGCCTCCCAGGTGTCTCCTAGCAGAGGAAGTGATAAGGACAACTTGTAGACACACACACAGGAGCAGGCTCTACTGCTCAGCCCTCACCAAAGGAACTCTGAGCATGACACAGCCTGGGTGACCAGTGAGGACACAGGCTCAGTGATGTCCATGTCACGACCACAACTTAATGGTTCCACTGACAGGATGGAGTTGGAGAAGCCAACGTTACAGAGACAGAAAATGGGATGGTGTCTGCCAGGGTCAGGGTGGGGATGGGACGTGTTGGTTTAATGATACCAGCACTTTTACAGGGAGAGAGTTATGGAGCGAGATGAGTGTGATAGCTGCAATGCATTATGAATGTATCTAGTACCACTGTGCTGTGAAAACTGGTGAGGTGGCACTTTACATGTAAGCAGCACCATAGCAAATAATATGTTTAAAACAGCAGGTTGGGTGGGCCTTCTCCCTAATACTCCCCTTAAAACATGAAGGAAACAATATGGAAAAAATAATAATCTTACCCAAAAATAAATAAATAAATAAAAATAAAACACAGCAGGTAGCAGTAGCCTAGAGGCTAACGTCCTTGCCTTTCATGCACTGGGATCCCATATGGGCACCAGTTCTTGTCCCAGCAGCCCCACTTCCCATCCGGCTCCCTACTTGTGGCCTGGGAAAGCAGCTGAGGAGCGCCCAAGGGCCTTAGAACCCTACTCCTGTGTAGGAGACCCAGAGGAGGCTCCTGGCTCCTAGCTTCAGTTTGGCTCAGCTCTGGCCATTGCAGCCACTTGGAGAGTGATTCAGTGGACGGAAGATCTTTCTCTGTGTCTCTCCTGTGTGTAAATCTGTCTTTCTATGATGGACTGTCTGACATTGTCTGTACCAGCAATGTCTTGGCACACTTAAATAGCAGACTGATGGAATTGTAATTCCTTATGAAGAAATGTACTGTTGTGACAACATGGGAAAAAATCAATCGGAGGGTGGAAATTGGGGGGAGGGGAATCCCAGACTATGTAGAATTGTACAATAAAATTCAAAAATTAAAATAAATAAATAATCTTGAAAAATGCAACAGGTGAGACTATTTTAAAATGTCAACATGAAAAGGATGAGCTTACTTTGATGCAAAAATGTCTGAAATCCGTATTTTTTTTTTCTGTAATGGCGTGCCACTGCCATTGATGGCACATACCACTTGTCAGGTTCATTGACAGCGGATAGGGCACAGAAAGGGGTTTCTGCACTTCACCCTTCCTCTTGCACCATTCAAGTTGATTGAAGGCATGAAAAGTGCACCCTGCCTCTCCTGCCTTTCGTACATTCACAACAACTGACAGCATGGAAATGACTCTGGAGGCTCCGCACACCTGGCCCCTCCTGCCTGCTATTGTATTAGATTAGGTGAACTATAGGAAAACTTTGGGCTCTGATAACTGCCTTCCTACCTGAAACTTTGTACTGCATGGCTCTAAATCTGATTGGACAATGAGAGCTTAAAACCCCTGACTTTTGCTGCTCGGCGCAGTAGCTCCTGGAGTGTAGCGGTGGCTGCTGTCGCCAAGCTTGGGAGATAAAGATTCTTCTTAACATTCTATACTTGGGTCCAGTGTGATCTCTCTCGCACTCTGCAACAGCATGTCCTAACACCTCCTATGACTCCGAGCCAGGGGAGCCAGCAGCTGCCTGACCCTGAACTCTGGCATCCAGCAGAAGCAAAGAACAGTAAGCTCAGAGAAGGAAGTCAACAGCGCAGCCTAGCTGTGGGGTTGGAAGAGGAAAGAATGGGACACACATCTGAGTGGTTCTAGGGGTACAAAGGAGAATCTGAGGCTGGAGGGAAGAGGAAGAGGGATGAAGGCCCTTTGCTGATCATGAGGCCTCTAAAAAACTCTAAAAGAAACAACACTGAGGAAACAGATGGGCTGGCATTTTCACCCTTTGTCAGGCACTTCTTTTCTCCTAGATGGAGCCTGTGCATTACAGGAATGCACAGGGTAAAGGGGGTCTTAGGGAGGTCAGAAGTAGAGGAAATTTTGAACACCCGACCTTGTTTCCTTTGAAGATTTATTTTATTATTTACTTAAAAGACAAAGTTAAGAAAAAGAGACAGATCTTCCCTTTGCTGGTTTACAATTCAAATTGTCCAAACAGCCAAGCCTGGCCAGATGGAGTCACACAAGTGTATGGGAAGAGACCGGGTATATGTACCATCCTCTGCTGCTTTTCCAGGTGCATTATCGGGAGTTCAACCTGTATTGCAGCATCTGAGACTTGAATCTACATCCATATGGGATGATGACAGTGAAGATGGCAGCTTAATCCTCTGTGCCACAAAGCTGGCCAGAACATGTGACTTTACTCTTCAGGTACTGAATGGGGAGGCTGGACTCTATCCAAAAGATTGGTAGGGAATGTCTTGGAGTTTTAATTGGTGCAGTCTGAGGTTGGGAGGTTAGTGGTGGCAACACAGAGCACCATGTGAGGCATAAGTAGCTCCACTGAGCTCATATGAGAAATGGGAGCCATGCACATATGAAATCAAGAGTCCTGACCCTGGGTACAAACTTGGTGTGGACCATCCCATCGTGGGGAAAGAGAAGACTCACCAAGTCAGGACTGCATCAGAGTCCATCTACTGATCAGAGACATCCACAGCCTGGTTCTTCAGAAGCAAATTCTCTTCTCTTCTGTCTCCCCACCTGCAGCCTAAACAAGAGACTCTGAGCATCCCACCCATCCTGGCCCAGGGCACAGCCATAGCCCCACACCCTCAGACAGCCCCACTCACACAGGTTGTGCTTGTGGGCGAGGTAGCACAGGATGGCACTGCACTGTGTGAAGTTTTGAGTCCCACCAATCAAGTAGGACAGTTGAAGAGTGAGGAGGGAAGTCAGCTGGGTTCCCAGGTTCCCGGTAACACTGTCCTGAGCAAGAGCAGACAGGAAACCTGGCACCCTCTGTGTCTGGCCCATGGCAGGTCCTAGAGATATATTCAGTACAAGAGATGAAAGGCCAACAATGTGGAACACCATGGAAAAAAAGCACAGACAACTAAGAACACCAACAGTTGGGCAGAGTGCACTCATTAAATCTCTAATCTGGGTAAGGAAATGGAAGCAGACATCTTGCACTTTCCACCCCACCTCCAGCCACACATCCCCTGCACATGTATTGCAAAAGCCCAGGCCCAGCTTAAATTTCTCAATCAGCCACTGGTTTTGGTCACAGTCAGGAGCTGTGGAGATCAAGTGAAACAAAAACTCCACAGTGTGCAGCCTGCTCCCAGGACCCTTCCAAGGACAGGGGCAAGACACTAGAAACAGGGAAAGTGGGATCTAAACCCCTCATCTTACATTCAAGGCCAAGGTGACAGAATGGTTGTAAGGGCTCTGAAACCTACTTGCCAAAAGCTCAAAAGAAGTGGGGGAAAACTTAGGTAGAACCCAACCCCATCATAGACACAGCACAGTGCCAAGCACCCTTGCCTTGCCAGACTGTACCCTCCATCCTCCAAAGAAGGGGCAGGCTCAGATGTCACTCAGCATTAGGGCAGAGGTCAGCACAGGCAGGTGCATTACTGCCCCCCACAGTGCACTTCTTGTCCTGGTGTCTGTGTATGAACTAGCTGGGGGAGGGAAGAATGGCAGGGGCACAGGTTAAAGGCAAAGTGACCAGATTATGTCCTTATCTCCTCTAGATGAACCCACCAAATAAACACCACAGACACTGCCACCACCCACTCCTCACCCCCACACATGTAGGTGTGCTCTGGGAGCTCCCGTGAGGCCAAGGCTTCTTCTGCAAGCCTGTAGGAATCACCCCAGCTAAGTCTCATGTGATGGCTCAACTGGCTAACCCTCTGTCTGCAAACTCCAGAAACCCATATAGGTGGCTATGTGTGTCCTGGCTGTTCCATTTCCCATCCAACTCTGTTTATGTCCTGGGAAAGCACCAAAGGATGTCTCCAAGCCTGAGGACACTACATCCACATGGGAGACCTGGAGGGGGCTCAGCTCCAACCACTGTGGAGTTGGTTCATTTGGGGAGTGAACCAGCAGAGGGAAGATCTTTGCTTTTCCTTCTCAATGTAAATCAGCCTTTCCAATAAAAATAAATGTTAAAAAAGAGAGAGAGAGAATTTCCCCAGTTGCTCAGCGTTGCTCCCACCAGCCCTGTGAGGGGGCCCCTCATTCACCCCATGCTTCTCCCAGTAGCTCAGTGTCATGGGGTGCTGCTGCTGGTGCTGCAGGCTCAGCATGCTGGGCTCGGTGGGAGTGGCTTGGGTGTCACCTGGGTATTCAGTGGGAGCAGGTCACAAACCCCCCTCAGTCTCCTTCAAGGCCATGTCCTGGTCAAGGAGGTCACCTATCTGACAACAGGACATTTCTGAGCTGCACCTCAGCCATGCCTCCTCTGTGCAAGGTGGGCCTCTTGGAGATTCACCAGCTGCTCCATGAAAGAAAAACACCACCTGGTGAATGACCATAAGGCTTCAGTCAAGAGACCCAAGGGCTGGCTCCCCAAATTCCTTAAGGGGCATAAACAGCACCTACTTTCTTGCTTCTATCCTGTGTCAGGTCAGGCAGACTTCTGCCTTCTGGGTTTGCTGCTCCTGATGCATGTCGCTGCAGGGTGTCGACCTAAGAGCTTGGCAGTGCCCAATGCTGTCCTTCCATGGAGAGCTGACTTGAACACTCCATTACAGGCACCCTTCTTAGGCTGGCACTGGGCACTGGAGCTTCAAGAGCCAAAGGAACTGGGCTCAGGACAGAGGGATGCCTGCGGGGGAGGGGCAGGAGCCGTGGCACTGTCTGCAGGCCTGGCTGGACTGCCAAGGGCACTGCCAACCAACAGGGCCCAGCAGAGGGTGGCTGCTTGGGAGGGCTGGGGAAGCAGTGAGGCCAATCTCTGAGAACACAGCGGACTTGCAGCTTTCCTTTCCCTGTGGTGGGGCCCAGAGCTCCTGCCTGTCTGAGGAACTGTGTGCAGCCAGAGAAACCTGAGAGGGGCAGAAGGAGACAGAGGGGAGAGGCCGGCTGGAAGGGGAGGGGCGGGGGCGGGACCCTGCCTTGTCCCAGGACCCGGATGAAGGCCCAGGCAGCCCTCTGAGCCCTCAGCACCAGCCACACCAGTGAGAGGAGCAGGAGCGACTCCAAAACCAGCACCATCAGTACCATGCCCATGACGCTGGGTTACTGGGACATCCGCGGGGTGAGTGAGGGGTCGGTTTGGAGGGCTGGCGGGGGCAGTGCAGAGCAGCTGGAGTTATTTAGGTGTTGCTGTTGTCCTTGACTTGCAGGAGCTGTGTGTGTGTGTGTGTGTGTGTGTGTGTGTGCGCGCGCGCGCGCGCAGTGAAGGGGGGATTAGCTGCAGTACCTGGTTCTCTGGAGTTAAAGAGGTCAGCACGAGGGAACTATCTCTGATCTTCGCCCCCTGTTACCCCCAGCTGGCTCACGCCATCCGCCTGCTCCTGGAATATACGGACACCAGTTATGAGGAAAAGATATACACCATGGGGGACGGTATGCACCTGCCTGCACTGACTTCTGCCATGCTAAGGATGGCTGACATCTGATCCTGCCCCTACTCTGGTCCTTAGAGGGTGCAGATTGGCATGTCAGTGTAGGGGTGTTGAGGGGTTGGGTCAGTGCTGGGAACTCATGGAAAAGGAACTGGGTAAGGTAAGGTTCTTCGCTAGGCTTCTCTACAACTGTTGCAATAGGTGTGTCAGCTCCATTGCCTCTAAAGCATTCTTTTCCTTCAGACCTTGAATGTGAGATGAGGGGCTCAAATCCCACACATGCCCTGTCTCGGGGTCTTACCCCTGACTCTCCTGAGGGGAGGCTACACACTGGGGAGGTTTTGTTTCACTTGGTCTTCTCCACAGCTCCCGACTATGACCGAAGCCAGTGGCTGAATGAGAAATTCAAGCTGGGCCTGGACTTCCCCAATGTATGTGCAGGGGATGGGGTGTTGGAGGGAGTGGGGTCGTGAATGGTGTCTCTGTCTCCACATTCTTCCCATGGTTAGAGGGTTCAGGACCAGGACCTGTGCTCAACCACTGTCATCCGTGGTTCTCTGCAGTCTTTCCCTGAGGTTCTATGCCGTAGCTCACTCATGCCTTGTGCAGAGATTGTCTCCAAAGGCCTGCCATGGGCCAGGCACAGAGGGTGCCAGGGATCCTGTGTGTCCTGGCTCAGGGCATGAGGTGCTGAGCACCTGGGAGCCCAGCTGACTTCCCTCCTTATCCCCAGCTGCCCTACCTGATTGACGGCACTCACAAGCTCACCCAGAGCAACGCCATCCTGCGCTATCTCGGCCGCAAGTACAACCTGTGTGAGTGGGGCTGGCTGAGGGCATGGGGCTGTGGCTGTGCCCTGGGCCTGGCTGGGTGGGATACTGAGGGTGTCTGCTGTGTGTGCTGTGTGTGTTGCAGGTGGGGAGACGGAAGAGGAGAAGATTCGCGTGGACATTTTGGAGAACCAGGTTATGGACACCCGCTTACAGCTTGCTGTGGTCTGCTACAGTCCTGACTTTGTGAGTGCTCCCACTGGATCTGACCTGGTGGGGTTCAATGAGTACTTGCATCTGGTGTTCTTATTTGCAACCCTTCAGTTTGCCACTGAACTGCCTAAGTGGAATGATTGTCCAATTTACTGTCTGATCAACACGTTGATTCAGCAGTGTCGTGCTCGCTTCGGCAGCACATATACTAAAATTGGAACAATTCTGCACTAAGTCTACTGAAACAAAGTCTACCAATTGATTTCCATAGTCATAGAAATATTTCTAGTGTCTCTGTGTTAAAATCCATTCCAACACATAAATTTTGCTTAAGAATCTCTGCTGGAGTCCAACTCCAGCTGAGTTCGGAGCCCGAGAAAGGTGTGTGGAGTCGGCGATAAAAAAAGACACAGACACTGTCACGTGGTGCCCTCTTGCTGCAGCTCAAGAAGCTGTCCTTTTTGTTTACTTAGACACATCACAAGCTTCTGCATAAACGTTTGGTTTTACTATCTTTAACTTTAGAACTAAGCCAGCAGGCACAGATGTTCAATTAATTTTTACTTCATGGTCAACCAGGTGCTCTTAAAGATAATTCTGTAAGTTACTATAATCAGCTCTTAAAAGCAAGCTGTTATTTATTCTTCAGAAGTAGCGATTAGGTGACAGTCAGAACTCCAAGGCCAAGGCACAGATGTTTGCCTACTAATCAGTAGAACATTCCTACTACATTTTATTTTCACAACTTATTTATCACTTAATAGGAGAAATACATCAAAAGGGGGAAAAAATAACGATCTAGAACAAAAAGTTTCAAACATTAAATCCCCCTACAACTGCAGGCTCTCCAACCTCATAAGCAATCAAACAATAATCAAAAGTATATCTCTATGATGTTAATAGAATCACCCTATATTTCCTCTAGTTAAAAAATTATGAAAGCAACTAAAACAGCTACATTTTCTATGCTCTAAAGAGTTGCAAGGACAGGCTAACCTTTAAGGTCACAGTAATTATATCTTTTGCCATAGCAGTTTCAGCTCATACTCCCATCATTTCGATTCATTTGTAAAATTCTTATCAAGCCATTGCCCAGAAGGCATGCTATATGTCTGGGCCAGATTTCAGGGCAATGGGTAGGCACACAATAAGATGTCCAGAAATGGCATGGATTTAATTGTACTCCTTTGTGCAGTCAAAGGCCCACTCACCAGGACATTATCAATAACTTTAACTCTCAAGCTCATATTGGTTACAAAAGCCATCTCACAGGGGCAAACAATGGCTCAATAGATTACAGAGTTCTTAGTGGGGTGGTTGAGTGTCCATGCAAAAAGGGGGTGAGTCAAGGCGGTCAGAGAAAAATCCACTGGGCCTTGCCAAAAAACCGGAAGCTCCCCTGGGCCCTGCCAAGCAGGGGAGCTGTTCTCTTCATACTTTCGTGCCATCCGCACCTACTGCATGTGGTACTGCACCCCAGCAAATCACTTTTGTGCTTAGCACTTAGCTTATCTGTTTACCACGTGGTGTAACATGAGACAGCTGGATGCTGAATGCCAGTGCTTCAGCTGTTTTTGTTAAACATGGGAGCTTATCGGGCATGTACCTGTTTTCCCAAGGCTATCTCCTGTCACAACAGGGATAAGCCGATTTTCTCAATGGAAACCCAGGGTCAGCCTGAGGCCCTGGATTCCTTTTCCTCCATCTTTCCGCATCACATTCTCATCCTTTGTGAACTGTGAACATTCCTGTCTTGCTCCGGAAACATGACTGCTCCCCCAACCAAGGGGCAAGAAAACTCTCTCCCTCAACTTGGCGTCTATGGCTGCTGACACCAATTTGCTCCTTCAGGAGAAGCTGAAGCCTGACTATCTGAAGGGCCTCCCAGACAAGCTGACACTGTACTCCCAGTTCCTGGGGAAGCGGCCCTGGTTTGCAGGGGACAAGGTGAGGCAGAGGGAGGGAGGGAGACAGGAGCAGGGGGCATGGCCAAGGCAGTCTGCTCCTAAGCTCTCTCCTCCTGGCTTCTGCAGATTACCTTTGCCGATTTCCTCGTCTATGACATCCTGGACCAAAACCGTATATTTGCTCCTGGTTGCCTGGATGCATTCCCAAACCTGAAGGATTTTGTGGCTCGATTTGAGGTGACTCTCTGATATTCCTCTCCCCTTTTCTATTTCCTTCATGCTCTCTGAGTCCTGGAGCTGAGCTGTAGACAAACCCCTGAGAGCAGGACCCAGGGTTAGCATTCTGCACCTGCTGTGTCCAGTATATCTGCCTATGTTCCCACATGGTGAATAGAGCTGTTACTCCCAGTTGACACATAAGGAAACTGAATCAGTATGGGAGTAAGCCATTTGTCAGGGTTCCAGATCTAGTCACAGGTGTACTGGGCTCCCTGGGAGCCTCTGGTATATATGGGCAACAACTAGGGCTTCTCTGCATTTTGTGCTAAAAGGAGCAGCCTCAGGCCCTTGACCAGTCTGGGTCTCCCTTCCCCGGAGACCTTAGGAGAGGCCAGACAGTGAGTGTGCGTGCAGCGGGCATCAGGAGGATGAGACTTGTTAGAACTGAGGTTCAGTGTCAGAGACACAGACACTCCATGTGCTTGATCTCTAGAGCAGTTGAAGCAATGAGCTCCTGTGTGGAAACACTCAGCTCCCAGGTGTGTTGTTGGTGCTGGATCTCAGTGGCCACAGTGCTGCCCTGGTGCAGGTTCTTGTCTTGAAAAGTTGGTGGTGAAAACTTTCTTTGTGGCTCTTTTCTCCTTCCAATTTCCAACATTTTTGTCTGTAACAAGGGACAGGTCCTTCAGTTTATTTGATGCATGAGTGAAGATGACTCCATGCTGGAATGGAGCCCAGTAGAGAACTGCAGGCACAGCGGGTGGGAGGGGAAGTGATAACAGTGTGGGTCTGAGGAGCACAGCCTGCCCTCCCCTCTCAGGGTCACCCTGGTCACCCAGGAACATCTGCTCACAGCAAAGCCTACTTGATCACATTTTGGGAGTTTGAGGCTTGGGTACACAAGCTATTCATTCTACATTATATGTAGTATTCTCCTTCACATAGAGAGATGTGCCTTCTCAGCTCATTCTCATCAGCTCTGGGTGAGATCCAGGCCCTTGGCCTTGGGAACTATATAACAACAGTTGGCTCAGCTCTGTGTCCCAGAGAGGAGGGGCTGGACATAGATTAGATATGTGAGCTGGACTGTGTGGCCTGCCAGATCAGGCCTGTTATGCTCAGAACACCCTGGATTCTCCTGAATTTGAGATTGTCCATGGGCACTGTCAGCCCTGGCGTGCAGGTAGATTTCCCAAGAGTGTGCTTGGTGCTGCTTGCTGTAGCAGGTCTCAGGATAAGATAAGGGGAGTTGAGTCGCAATGAGGTTGACCTGAGATACCAAGTGGAGGAGTTGGGACTTCCTGTGTCAGGGGGAGGATTGGAGCCTGGCCTTGCCTTTACCTGGCAAAGCCTGGCTTTGCCACTTTACATCCTCCTGTTCCCCCAGTGAGGGTTGCTGAATCAATGGGGGGAGTTCTGGGCTACTGTTCAAGCTGCCCTGGCATGGTTTAAGCCCCTGCCCCTGGTGGATGTCCCTATTGTATGTGAAACTCCATGCCAGCAGGCAGCCTCACTGTGGAAAAGGAGATGTTTGTGCAGACAGGAGTGGCAGGGTCTCTGTAAAATAGAGGAGAACAGTGTGAAGAGAAACAGAGGCAGCCTGTTCCTGTCCTGTCTGTCTACACAGACCTTAATGGTGAGAAAGTTAATGAGCAGCTGTGACGCTCAGGTTTCTTCAGAGATGTGGTGGCCAGGAGCAGATTGTGCTGGGGGCAGAGTGATCTCTGCACCTGCACTAATTGCCCTTGACCACACAGCACTCAGCTGCTAGCGTCTCCCATCTCTGTTAGCTGATCCATCATACGAGGTTTGGTGCGAGTTGCTGTGATGAAGCGTGAACTCCCCTGGGCTGTGGTTGGACAGAGATGTCGCCGGAGCCGCCACAGTCCTGTGCTGTGACTGATGTCAGGTTCACTTGCCTCATTTAAACTGGGCTGTGGTAATTGCAATGGTGGCACAGACCCTGAGCTCTGCCCTTGTTTTTCTGCACCTGCAGGGCCTGCCGAAGATCGCTGCCTACATGAAGTCCAGTCACTTCATCAGAGTGCCTATATATTTGAAGCTGGCCACCTGGACAGGAAAATAGGGCTCTGGAGTGAGGTGGGAGGGGCTTTGGGGAGCTCAGGCCCCCAGCCCTGCCTCAGCCTTCTCAGTTCTCTTCTTCCTCTTCTCTTCAACCTGCTGCCCCCTGTCCTCTACGCCAGCCCCTCCCATAGAAGCCCTGGCCCAGCCTCAGTCTGCCCTCTTCTTCAGCCACGGCCCCTGTGCTGCTCCTCCTGCACTGAGGCCAACTCCACAGCCCTGTCTCTTCTGTGAGGGGCTGAGTGGCCCTAAGCTCTGCAAACAGCCAGAGCGGTTGTTGGGCCTGTGTTGACCATGCTAACCAGTGAGGTCTCCCTGGCACTGCCTGCTCCCTAGAAAGCCTACACCTCAACCTGGGCCTGTCCTCTTCCCTGGGAACCCTGGCTTGGCACTGACTTTGCTGGAGTGTGGGGATTGTCTTTGTTCTATTGCCACAACATGGCCTTGGGAGCAGGATGCTATATGTGGATGTGTCTGTTGATGGGTTTCCATGATGTTTGATCATTTCTGCATGCTCTATGTTGCTCTGTTCCTCACCTTGGGTCCCAACTTCTCCCTGGCTCCTTGTTCTCACAGCATGGTGCCAGGACTTGAAGCATCCTACAGCTGGGCCCTGGTAGTGAGAGCTGCTGGACTAATGGGAAGTGGTTGGTGGTCCACAGGAATACCCCACTGGAACCCCTTTTCAGATTCTTTGCCTGACATAGATAATCCTTTTCTACATTTTCAGGATGCCTCTTAATAAAAAAAAAAAAGTCCGCTGAAATTTAGTTGTTATTTTACCTGTGCTTTTCACACTGATTAAGTTATATATCTATGTGGAAAGAATCCCTCTGTGTCTTCCCTGTGATATGTGTTATGGTGCTGGCATACAGCAGATGTTCAGAAAGTTTGGAAATGTCCATAATCCTGGTGGCAGTATCATGATGGCTTGAATAAAGAGTGAGACAGACACCTTGCACACACATACATACCAGACTCTAACCCCTGCTGCACGAACATTGGGAAAGTCCAGGCCCAGCTTGGATTTCTCACTCAGCCACTGGCTTCAGTCATAGTCGGGAGCTGTGGAGAAGACCAAGTGAAACAAAACCTCCTCCATGTGCAGCCTCTTTCCCTGGGCCCTCCCAAGGAGTCAGGGGTAAGACCCCCTGAGACAGGGCATGTGTGGGATTTGAGCCCCTCACCTCACATTCCAAGTCTGAGGGACAGAATTATGTACAGGCTCTGGACCTTGCATGCTAAAGGCTCAAAAACGTGTGTGAATACCTAAGCAAGTTCCCAACCCACTCACAGACACACCAGTGCCCAGAACGTTCCTCCAGCACCCTGTCATGGGATGGCAACTATACCACTCAAGGACCAGGGTAGGGACAGACTCAGATGTCACTCAGCATTAGGGCAGAGGTCAGTGCAGGCAGGAGCATTACAGACCCTATGAAGTGTCTCCTCTCCTTATAGCTGGTGTCCGTGTATTCCAGAAGACAGGTGGCATGAGCCAGCTGGCTCAGTGATAGTCAAAGAAGGAGGTCAGAAACATAGAGACCCAGAATCTGTCCCTATTCCTCCAGCTGAATGCACCTGATAACCACCACAACCAATGCTACCCTAACCCCAGCCCCAGAAATATAGGTTGGCTCAGGGAGATCTGGGGAGGCTGAGGAAATACGCCTAAACATCACCCATAGCTGCTCAGATCTGCCCTGCCCCCGCCAGCCCTTCAAGCAGACCCTTTGCTCACCCAGGGAATGTTGCAATAATCCAACGTCTTGGGGTGCTGTTCCTGCTGTTATGGACTCAGTGGAGCAACATGAGGCTTTATCTTGGTCCTCAGGAAGGGCTGGGCCCCTCCCCTTCTGCCCCTTCTGCCCCCCTCTCCTCTCTCCTTTCCCCGCTTAGGGATGTCTTGCTCACGTCTCCTCAGAACCTTCAAAGACAGGGCTCTGCTCCTGCCCCAAAGAGGCTCTCCTACCTTCCTTCACATCCTCCTGGACATTGCCCTCAAGGCCACCGTCTTGGTCAAGGTGGTCACCTGACATTAGGAAATTTCTGAGGGGGCACCTCAGCCATGCTGCCTCTTTGAAAGGTGCACTCGCTGATGACTGACTGTCTGGCTCAAAACACTACCTGGTGAATGATCATAAGACTTCCGGCAGGAAACCCAAAGCTGGTTCCCCAAATCACACAGCCGCTTCTTTCTTCTGGTTGTGTGTCAGAGCATCCTCCGCCTTCTGGAGATGCTGCTTCTGATTCGCCACTCTGTGTGGTGGTGGCACCCTTCCACGGGGTGCGCTGGTTTGAGCACTCCATTACTGATACACCTCTTAGGCTGGCGCCGGCAGCTGGAGCTTCCCAGAGCCCAGAGGGTGGGGACAGAATGATGCCTGTGGGGGCAAGTGCAGGGAGCTGTGGCACTGCCTGACTTGGCTGCCAAGGGCACTGCCAACTGCCGGGGGGGGGGGTGCCTGCAGAGTGTGGCTGCTGTTCTGGGCTAGTGAAGCAGCAAATCCCAGCACAGCATTAGGCCTCCAAGTTCCCAGACCTCGCTCAGGGATCCCAGTTGGCTGGAAGTTGATTTGAAGCTTCCTGCTCCCTGAGGGTTGGGCCCCGCGCCACCTTCAGGAGAATTGGGAGGGAAAGGTGCGGAGGGGCGGGCCGATTGCCAGCTCCACCCCTGCCCTCCCTGGACTGGCACCAACTTCCAGGCCAGGCCAGCGGAGTTCCAGAAATCCGACCATAGACACTAAACACCAGCAACACCATGTCGATGACGCTGGGTTACTGGGACATCCGTGGGGTGAGCAAAGGGTCTGCCTGGGAAGCATGCAGTGGCATGGGTGGGCGAGAGGTATCTGAGCAGCTGGGGCACTTTCAATCCATAGTTCCTGTAGGAGCAGGTAGCTGCCTCTGCCTGCCGGAAACTCTTACAGGCTCGCTCTGCAGGTACTGTTTGTGTAGAGGGGGATTGCGGGTGCAAGGGGGAGCAGAGCTCACCTGGAAGAGATAAGAAAGGCTTCTATTCACTCAGTATTTCACCTCACTCTCGGTCATTGCCACAGATGTGTCATGCCATCCGCCTACTCCTGGAATACACAGACACCAGCTATGAGGAAAAGAGATACAACATGGGGGACGGTATGCAACTGCCTGCATTGACCTCTGCCTAGGCAATACTGACTGATAACTAGAACCCCTGTGTGACCACTTGTGGCACACCTCTGTGTGCTTCCACCACCAGCAGTGGAGCGTGCCCCTTCCCTGGTCCCATGGAGGGTGTGGTGTGGCAGGGCACTGGGAGGAGGGCTTGGTCGTGTTGATGATCCCAATAGGCTCTTCCTTAGCCCTTTTCTAAAACACTAGAGCCTTCAGCATGTAGGGTTTAGGACACTTACAACTATTCTATCCCCTTATTCTAGACCTTGAATGAGAGGTGAAGGTTCAGATCCCACATGCCCTGTCTTGGGGGTCTTGCCCCTGATTCCTTGGGAGGGTCCCAAGAAAGAGGCTGCAAACGGGGGAGGTTTTGTTTCACTTGGTCTTCTCCACAGCTCCTGACTATGACCAAAGTGAGTGGCTGAGTGAGAAATTCAAGCTGGGCCTGGATATTCCCAATGTTCGTGCAGGGGATGAGATGACTGGTGATGGGAGCGGGGAGTATATAGTGTCTCCACTTTGTACATCCTTCCCACATTGACAGATTTCAGGACCAGGAACTTATACTCAATCACAGTCATCCCTGGTTCTCTATAGCACTTTCTGTGATGTTCTATGGTGTTGTTTATTCACTCATTGTATAGAGTATGTCTCTAGGGAGCCTGCTGTGATCAAGTACAGAGGGTGCCAGGGCTCCTGTGTGCCCTGGCTCAGGGGAGAAGATGCTGGGCATCTGGGAGCCCAGCTGATTTCCCTCCTCCCTCCCCAGCTGCCCTACCTGATTGACGGCACTCACAGGCTCACCCAGAGCAACGCCATCCTGCGCTACCTCGGCTGCAAGTACAACCTGTGTGAGTGGGGCTGGCTGAGGGCGTGGGGCTGTGGCTGTGCCCTGGGCCTGGCTGGGTGGGATGCTGAGGGTGTCTGCTGTGTCTGCTGTGTGTGCTGCAGGTGGGGAGACGGAAGAGGAGAAGATTCGCGTGGACATTTTGGAGAACCAGGCTATGGACAACCGCAGGCAACTTGGCAGTATCTGCTACAGTCCTGACTTTGTAAGTGTTCCCACTGGACAGGACCTGGCAGGGCTCAACGAGGACTTAAACCCTGTGTTTATATCTGCACTACTCCCAGTTCCCAGTGAACTCTCTAGACAACTGATTCTCCAAGCATGTGTCTGTCTATGACCATCTTCTGCAGCTGACCCACCAGCATCAGGGATGCAGTCACAGTGTGGAAGTTATATTAGTTTAAGATGGGAGCTTATTCAGGCAAGCGCCCTGTTTTTCCAGGTTTTTTGTGTCCCCTACGATAAGCATATTTCCCGAATGGGCAGCCCCAAATCACCAAGAGGCCCTGGGTTCCTTTCCTGCCGTCATTTCACATCACATTCTCATCCTTTGTGAACTGTACACATCCCTGCCACGCTCACTGAGGATGGCTGCTCCCCTGGCCAGCGGGGCCACGTGCATCCCTGGGCAGGCAAGCTCTCTCCCCAAAGTTGTGTCTATGGCTGCAAAGCTGTTTGTTCTTTCAGGAGAAGCTGAAGCCTGACTACCTGAAGGGCCTCCCAGACAAGCTGACAGTGTACTCCCAGTTCCTGGGGAAGCAGCCCTGGTTTGCAGGGGACAAGGTGAGGCAGAGAAAGGGAGGGAGACAGGAGCAGGGGGCATGGCCAAGGCAGTCTGCTCCTAAGCTCTCTCCTCCTGGCTTCTGCAGATCACCTTTGCTGATTTCCTCGTCTATGACATCCTGGACCAAAACCGTATATTTGCTCCTGGTTGCCTGGATGCGTTCCCAAACCTGAAGGATTTTGTGGCTCGATTTGAGGTGACTCTCTGATATTCCTCTCCTCTTTTCCATTTCCTTCATGCTCTCTGAGTCCTGGAGCTGAGCTGTAGACAAACCCCTGAGAGCAGGACCCAGGGTTAGCATCCTGCACCTGCTGTGTCCAGTATATCTGCCTATGTTCCCACATGGTGAATAGAGCTGTTACTCCCAGTTGACACATAAGGAAACTGAATCAGTATGGGAGTAAGCCATTTGTCAGGGTTCCAGATCTAGTCACAGGTGTACTGGGCTCCCTGGGAGCCTCTGGTATATATGGGCAACAACTAGGGCTTCTCTGCATTTTGTGCTAAAAGGAGCAGCCTCAGGCCCTTGACCAGTCTGGGTCTCCCTTCCCCGGAGACCTTAGGAGAGGCCAGACAGTGAGTGTGCGTGCAGCGGGCATCAGGAGGATGAGACTTGTTAGAACTGAGGTTCAGTGTCAGAGACACAGACACTCCATGTGCTTGATCTCTAGAGCAGTTGAAGCAATGAGCTCCTGTGTGGAAACACTCAGCTCCCAGGTGTGTTGTTGGTGCTGGATCTCAGTGGCCACAGTGCTGCCCTGGTGCAGGTTCTTGTCTTGAAAAGTTGGTGGTGAAAACTTTCTTTGTGGCTCTTTTCTCCTTCCAATTTCCAACATGTTATGTCTGTGGTATGTGGTGGGTCGTTTATGTTTAACTCATGTGACAAGGTGACTCCATGCTAGAACTGAAGCCAGTTAGAGAACTTTGAGCAGAGCAGATGGGAGGGGAAGTGATAACAGTGTGGGTCTGAGGAGCACAGCCCGCCCTCCCCTCTCAGGGTCACACTGGTCACCCAGGGACATTCTGCTCACAGCAAAGCCTACTTGATCACATTTTGGGAGTTTGAGGCTTGGGAACACAAGCTATTTGTTCGGCAATCTTTGTCCCATTCCTCTCCCTGGGGAGATGTTCTTTCTCATCAGCTCTGGGTGAGATCCCGGCCCTTGGCCTTGGGAACTATATAACAACAGTTGGCTCAGCTCTGTGTCCCAGAGAGGAGGGGCTGAACATAGATTAGATATGTGAGCTGGACTCTGCGGCTGCCAGGCCAGGCTCTTAAGCTCAGAATACTGGATTCTCCTGAATTTGAGATTGTCCATGGGGACTGTCAGCCCTGACATGCAGGTAGATTTCCCAGGAGTGTGCTTGGTGCTGCTCGCTATAACAGGTCTCAGGATGAGGAGAATTGAGATGCAGTGAGGTTGACCTGAGATACCAAGTGGAGGAGTTAGGACTCCCTGTGTCAGGGGGAGGATTGGAGTCTGGCCTTGCCTTCCTTTGCTGCTGCACCTCCTCCCGTTCCCCACAGTGAGGGCCTGCTGAGTCACTGGGTAAGATCAGGACTGCTCTGTAGGCTGTCCTGACATGGTCTCAGCCCCTTTTCCTGATGGACGTCCCTGCTCTGTGTGCAATGTCGTGCATTGGGCAGCCTCACTGTGGATAAGGAGGTGTTTGTGCAGATAGGGGTGAATGAGTCTCTGTGGCACAGAGGAGAGCAGTTTTAAGAGGGACAGCGGCAGGCTGTGCCATACTCTGCTTGCTCAGTGTTTGACTGTGAGAAAATTCCTGAATGGCTGTGCCCATCAAGTCCCATTGAGATATTGTGGTCAGGAGTGGATCATGTTTGGGTGGAGCGAACGCTGAGCCAGCACTGACATTTCCCATGGCTACATAACACCCAGCTCTAGCGTCATCCTGCTGATCCATCTTTTGAGGTGGTGGAGGGGAGGTGTCTTTGATGAAGCGTGAATTCCACAGGGCTGTGGTCCTATGGAGATGTCAGTGCAGCCAGCTCAGCCTTGTGCAGTGGCCGCTGTTGGTCCCGCTGGGCTGTGCCTATACTGGGGCTGTGGGAACCCCAGGAGAACCACAGACTCTGAGCTCTGCTCCTGTTTCTGCCCTTGCAGGGTCTGCCGAAGATTGCTGCCTACATCAAGTCCAGTCACTTCATCAGAGTGCCTATGTTTTTAAAGTGTGCCACATGGACTGGAAAATAAGACTCTGGGATGAGGTGGAAGGGGCTTTGGTGGGGGGGGGGGTCTCAGGCCCCCAGCCCTGCCTCAGCCTTCTCAGTTCTCTTCTTCCTCTCCCTCCTTCTCCCCAGCCTGCTGCCCCCTATCCTCTAAGCCAGCCCCTCCCATAGAAGCCCTGGCCAGCCTCAGCTCTGCCGTCTTCTTCATCTGCAGCCCCTGTGCTGCTCCTCCTGCACTAAGGCCAACCCCATGGCCCTGTCTCTGCTGTGGGGGGCCCTGAGTAGCCTTAAGCTCCCCAAACAGCCAGAGACATCGCTGGGCCTGTGTTGGCCCTGATCTGCTACAAGGTCTCCCTGGCACTGCCTGCTCCCCAGAAAGCCTACACCTCAACCCGGGCCTGTCCTCTTCACTGGGAGCCCTGACTTAGTACTGGTTGTGGTGGAGTTTGGGGGGTTTTCTTTGTTCTATTGCTACAGCAGGGCTGGGGAAGCAGGATGCTATGTGTGAGTGTCTGGTCAGCTGGGGTTCCATGGTGTCTTGGTCATTTCTATGCCCTGTACATGTTGCTCTGTTCCTCACCTCGGGTTTCTCCCTCCTTCTGCCTGGCTCCTCATTTTTGCAGCATGGTGCCAGGGCTTGAAGCCCCCTGCAGCTGGGCCCCGGTTCTGAGAACTTCTGGGCTGCTGGTGAAGGTGCAGGTGGTCCTTAGGCACAGCCCCTGGGACATCCTCCAGGGTGCCTTCCCTCATATGGATATTCCTGGTGTATATTTTCAGACTGTTTCTCAATAAAGCTTATCCCACTGAGTATACTTTTTGTTGTACTTGTTTTTTTTTTTTCCAGACCAACTAAATCTTAAATCATAGAGAATGAATCTTTCCGTGTCTGCTCTGTGATATGTGTTATGGTGCCTGCCATCTGCAGATTTTGAGGAGGTTTGGAATGTGGAAGAATTCCCTCTTGGAAAGCCAATTCTGGATGTCAAACTGGACTGCAGTAGCCCCTGGCAGGAGCAAGATCCGGGGCTGGGAGAATGCTTAGTAAGGAAACTGTGTGCATTCCCCTGCTGGGATATACCTATCACTGGTGAGCATGAAAACCAGGTCTGGAAGGCAGGCCAGGTTTTACAAAGCAGTAGCACCAATCAGCAAGTTTGAGAGCTAGGTCTATGGGTGGGTTGGTCTGAGCTAAGCTATAGCAGCCGTGGGTATGCATGGAATGAATGAAGGCTGGGCTGGGTTAGGCTGTAGCAGAGGTAGGCAAGCACAAAAACCAGGGCTGGGGGCAGATCTGGTAGGGGTTATTACCCAACTAGGCTGCAGCACCTGCTAGTATGTATGAGGACTGGGGTCTGAGGTGGGCTGGCCAGGCTGGGTCTTAGCACCTTTTTCGGTGAGATATGGGGCTAAGCCAGAACTGACCAAGTTGTATCCACTGATATGTGCATTAACTAATGCAAGTGACAGACCAAACCTGACCCTGTACTGGCTGGCCTACACAAGAATCAAGTCTGAGGTCATCCCAGGCAAGGTTTTTTTGGGGGACTCCCCAACTACACTGCTGGATTCAGAAAATTAACAATAGGGCCCTGTACAGTAGCCTAGTAGCTAAGTCCTTGCATTGCAACTGCCAAGATCCCATGTGGGCACCTATTTATGTCCTAGCTGCTCCACTTCCCATCTGGCTCCTTAGTTATAGCCTGGGAACACAGTGGAGGATGGCCCAAAGCCTTGGGACCTTGCGCCAGTGTGGGAAGCCCAGAAGAGGCTCCTGGCTCCTGGCTTTGGATAGGCTCAGCTCTGGCCATTGTAGCCACCTGGGGAGTAAATCAGCAGATGGAAGATTGTTTTCTCTGTCTGTCTCTCTCTGTATATGTGCCTTTCCAATAAAAATAAAATAAATTTTAAAAAGAGAGAAACAACAATTGGGCCCAGTGCAATGGATCAATGCTTAAATCCTCACCTTGCAAGCGGCAGGATCCCACATAGGTGCTGTTTTGTGTCTCAACTGCTCCACTTCCCATCCAGCTCCCTGTTTATGGCCTGTGAAAGCAGTAGAGAATGGCACAAAGTCTTGGAACCCTGCACCCACATTGGAAATGCAGAAGAAGTTCCTGGATCTTGGCTTCAGATTGCCTCAGCTCCAGCAGTTGTGGCCATTTAAGGAGTGAACCATTGAATGGAATGTCTTTCTCTCTGTATCTCCTTCTCTGTAAATCTGATCTGCCTTTCCAATGAAAATAAATCTTTTTTAAAAATGTTTTTTTTTAAAGTAGCAATAATTAATTGGTTTTGGGTTGGCATTGTGACATAGCTGTCAACACTGGCGCCTGTGATGCACTCTGCTTCTGATCAGCTCCCTGCCGAAGGCCTGGGGAAAGCAGGAAAAGCTCAAGTGTCTGGGTCCTTGTCACCCACATGAAAGATGCAGATAAAGTTCCAGACTACTGACTTCAGCACCAACTTGACCTTTGCAGGCATCAGAAACTTGAAACAGAGTTCCCAGGTTTGTCACTGGTGCCGAGTTTGAGCACAACAGCTGCCCTGTTTCATGTCTCTATATGCAGGTAACTGACAGTAGATCCATTCCTCCTCTCTTCTGCCTCTCTGTCCTCCTTGAATGGCACAGGTGTTATCTCTGACATGGGGCAGGTCCCTGGTTTTCATTCTTGTGCACTGCCCTTCTTGTTAGTATAAGGCAAGGTGGGAAATGCAAAGATGACTCACTATTTGGCATGGTGGTTCAGTGGGGTAATTCTCCACATCTGGCACCGGCATCCCATATGGACACTGGTTTGTGTTCTAGTTGTTCCAGTTCCAATCCATGTCTCTACTTATGGCCTGGGAAAGCAGTAGCAGATGGCTTAAAGTCTTGGGACCCTGTGATCACATGGGAGACCTAGTTTCAGAATAGCTCAGCTCTGGCCATTGCAATTATTTGGAAAATGAAACCAGTAGATGAGACTTTCTATCTCTCCTTTTCTCTCTGTAATATGTGTTTTCCAAATAAATAAATAAATAAATAAATAAATATTAAAAGGGGAGGCCAAAAAAGAGGAGTCCAGGCTGGGACTGCAGGTGGCTGGAGAACTACAGGCCCAGCAGACCAGGCAGGACGAGTGGCAGCACCCGGGTGCCAGGAGCACAGCCTGGACCCACCTCTCTGCTCATCGTGTCATCCAAGGTCAAAGTGTTTCACAGCAGCCAACCCTCATTTATCACAGACTTGGGCATTTGAGGCTGTGGTCCCACACGGAGGCAGCCTGGATTCTGTTTCCTGTCCCTAGTCCCTAAATCCCCCATGAGATGCGCCTTTTCAACTCTTTGGCTCTGCCTCAGGTCCACCTTGGAGCCTTAGGGATTAAAGAGGAGCTGACTGTGGAAGGGAGACAGGAGACAGCTCTGGACTCACTGGGGAAGCTAAGAAAGATAAATTCCAGAACTTTCCTGCTTCCTTTTGTCTCTGAGACCTTGAGGCAAGAGACAAAAACAGCATAATTCATCAGAAAGATAGAAAAAGAACTTGCAAGCTAAAATCCCTTTACTTTGTAATTGTGTAGAGCTCAGTACTGCCCATGGGGTGCATACCAGGTG